TATTGACAGAGGCCCATCTTATCCATCTTATGGTTTCTTCCTTATCCATGAAAATTGTTTAATTTAGAATCTCTAAAATAAATTAATTTTAATTTCCAAAATTGCCTAAAAAATTAAAGAAAATTTCATTTTTGACATAGGTTATTGTTAAGTCAATGAGTTTTAATAGTTGATTGATAGATCCATCTTATATTTCTTTCCTTCAACTAAAATCATTTAAAACATACAAAGCAATTATTTTTATATTTTTCATTCTTTTGGAAAAACTCGTATATCTAACAAGGATGTGATACTGTTATAAAAAATTGTGACCAATCAACCGATATCATAAACGTTTTAACCAATCAGGTGCATTTTATCAAATAATTCATGGATGGGTTTTGTTGTCAAAACTCTTGTGGTACCATATACGTGTTTCTGGCATCGATCGTAGATTTTCCCATTCAACGATTTTGAACTGGAGATGTAATATATTGAATATGTCAGCAGTCCAAATTAACTATGGGAACAGCCTATAAGCTCAGTTTCAATTTGAGAAGAGTATAAATAGAAATATGTACATCAAAATAATGTAAAATACAAGCTTTAATACTCTACAAATTTGTATTTGTAGAGTTTTCAAATTAAGCCTAAAAGGTTTGGACGAACATATTAAATGTGGCAATTTGCTGACCTATGCCGGCAGTGATGACCATCACTATTGGTCCACTGACACTCAAATGGCCCCCATGCCACATGCCTAATGCTTATGCCTTCGGATGCCAATATGAACAGGTTAAACTTACTTCAGATTGTCAACTAATTAGTAAAAGCTTTATCTAAATGACCAGGTTGAATTTGGATTCGGGTTAAACTTCACATTGCCATAGAGCAGATTATTTCCTTCACAATTTGTAAACCATGTAGCATGATTGACCTACGAGGCTACGACAATGATTATAGTTGGGGGGAGGGGGATCCAAAGCTCTGGCTAGCTAGATTGATTCAAGGGAAAAATAAAGATCCCTGTGGATAACTACTACAAGCAGCTAAATGGGGTGGAGAAATCAGAAATTCAAAAGAAACCCTCGAGGCTGCGTTTGGAAATGAAGTAAATACAAATTTGTAAGGTGTAAATTGATATTTGTTAAATATAAATTAATTCACTTTTTTATGTTTGATTTACTCTCTTCTTGTTTGGCACCAATGATGTAAATCAATCAATCAGAGACTTTTGTCAGCATTTGGAAACTTATACCGGTGAAAAGAAGTATTGACGGGTTCCCCAGGCATTCTGACCATTGGATTTCTTGCAGGACCACCATAAAATAAAATCTGAAACAAAACAAATATAACTCCACCGTTGATCCTCTTTGCATCTCTTGTTCATTGAGCAAGCATGGGCCTGAAGGAACTGTACGGCTGTACCCACATACTGGAGGAATTGTATACCCACTTTTATCATCGAAGTACTTGTACTTGGGGGTGTCAATGGAAATCAAAATCCATTTGGACGGATTGGATGGATCAATAAGACATATTGAATTTGGACAGACTGGACGGACCAATATGACATGTTGGATTGGACCCGGTCCATCCATAATGAATGTATGTTGGATTGAGCCAATATCCGATCCATTGATAAAAGATAAGAACATAGGTGTCAATGGACCAGGTTTGAGTTGAAAGAAACTAATCTAAATTAACAGGAATTTGAACAGATTGAACAGTCTCTGGACCGGTCCAAAATATTCATTAGACCAGATCCATTTATAATGGACTCACATTGGACTGGATCGGATTGGACCAAATCCAATCCGATTGACACCCCTACTTGAACCAAAAACATGAGCCCTCCATACCTTCGAGATCCCTTTTAATCACTGGAAGGATTTGAGAGGTTAACAAATTTGTAGGGATGAAGCCACTCCCATCCGCGCAAGGGGATACCAACAATCCTAGAAAGATCTCCGCTGAGATGCTTGAAGTCCATTGGTTCCAAGAGCTATTTAGGCTATTGGTGGTGTTACCGGAACTGTATTGACAAGGGTGGTTGTTATAGAATTGAACCCAATTATAATTGAACAGCCCGGTATTTAGGGCATCGTTGAGATACCTATCAGGAAAAGGGCACTGAGTAGTTGTCTAATATACCTTCCTCCCTCGATTGTTGTACCCAGATAGGTACCTAGCCAGATCATCCCAATGTTCAGCCTTTCCTCTCTCGACGTTGAAATCTATGTCGTCGAACACAGCATCACCGGATGCAACGATTAGGAATCTCCGGCCATGAGTTCTTAGGCTGTAGGAGTAAGTGTGATGCTCTTCTTGTGCACAGTCAAATGCTCGAGCACTAAAACAAATGATCGGACTCTCAGATCTCAAACGCTGTGACGGGATGGGAAAGAAAATAGCCATTACTCAGACCACTGTTCTGGTGGATGAAGATAAACCCCTGACCTGTGTTTCCTTGATGAAAGAAGAGCGTGAAATTTTACTTTGAAAAAATCGAGGTAGTTTTTCAATCCAAGATTGATGTAAATCCTAACATGTTTGCATTATTACATTGATTTTAGGGGTATTTTTACAACATTTCTAAATGCGTGCAATTATGGACCAAGATGTAATAATGCACTAAATCAGGATTTGCATCCCTTCCAGACGCAACCTAAATGATAAAACTGAACAATCGAAATATCAAATTACCACGAAATCCAATGGGCCCTTTTAAATCTTTAATTCGTTGCTTACAGAAATAGAAGAAATCAAAAGCTTCAATTATTACCCAATTCATTTGCAAGCTATCAACGTTGAAAATCACACATCATGTATCCAAAACCAATTCTCCGAGGACTCTCCTCCAAACCATAAAGGTGCCGGCCTTAGTATAGGAGATTAGATTTCGCCCTCACAAAATTGGTCCTCACAACATTTGCAGCCGTCCATTGGAAACATCTCCATACATGTATATTTTCATTTATGGAAAGGTGTTTCCAATGCTCAGTTGAAATAATTGTAAGAATGATGTAAGGACCAAATTTGTGACGACTAAATCCAGATTCATACATCAGGACAGGAAGAGATGGTCCAAGTGGTTAGTTTCTACTGTTCAAGGGCATCTCTTCTCTTTAGAAGGATTGTTTTAGGCCCAATTTGATCACAGCCCATGTCGTTGTTTTTAGAATTCGCATTTTCCAGTTCGTTAAAGTCCAGCTTTTAAGCCCATAGTTTACTTGGCTATTCATCAACCATTCTGGGCTTGGTCCAAACTTGAAACAAAAACTGCGAGGCCCGTTGAGAATCCAGTCCTCCTTTTCATGGGCAATGTAGCACAGGAAATTTTCTGTCAGCCCATTTCATGGATGCTGAGTCTGCCGATATCGCCACCAAACATAATCAAACAAATATTGACCGCCCATTTGATGGCTAATGATTTTTCTTTTCACGTTTTGAAGAGATTAAATTATTGTAAATTACAAACGTATTTTGGAAGTGCTTAAAAGTAATCAACATCTATATCTACCTAATGGGCTCCATTATGATATCGAAAAGATATGATATCCAAAAAACAATTGACCGATAAATCAGAATCATAAACGTGATAGGAAATATGGTGTTATTTATCAAAATTCATGGGTGCATTTTGATTGGTGAAAACTCTTTTCATATCATATCTTTTCTTTATCATAGATTTTCCCCTAACTATATTCTTATAAGGCTGGGATGTGTGGAAAAGGCTTTTCTGCTTGGTGTGTGTTGCTTTTAACTGCCAACATGTGTCCCTTCTCCATTTCTCTCTCGGCTCCCTTTCCTCATTGGCTCTCTCTCTCTCTCTCTCTCTCTCTCTCTCTCTTCAGACTTACAAAGACTTCATTGACCTCTTCTGTCTCTCTCTAGACTTCACCCGAGGAGAAGCTTGCCTCCCCTGACTCTCTCTCTCTCTTCTCTTTCTTATTCCCCTCATCTTCTTTCCTCTCTTTTGGTTCGTCTTCTCAAGATTTTCACTTTTTTCTATTCCATGTTCCCACCATCTTCCCCTCTCTCTTATAGACCTCAAGGCTCTATTTGGTTTGTGGGAAGATTTGGGTGGGATGGGAAAAGATGGGATGGGATGGGATGGGAAAGTGTAAAAATTTAACTTTCCATTGTTTGGTTTTATTGGGATGGGATGGGATGGGAAAGTGTAAAAGGGGACCGAAATGGCATTGTTCACCTTCCTCCTTCATTCGATTGAGACGAATAGAGGCGATGGAACCCCCTTCATCTCCCACCTTTCCCACTCTCTTTCTCCTCTCTTCTTCTTCTTCTTCTTCTTCTTCTTCTTCTCTGTTTATTCTTGATTCCCCATGACACAGAGACACATATAGAAGAAGAAGAGGTAGTGAGTGGGATTGTTCGACTGAAATGGAAGAAGACGAGATCAGTGTTGAAGAGTTGAAGGTAGAGGAGGTGATTGAGTGTGATATAGACGAGATCTATCTTCCTTCTCTGCAACACATGCCATGTATCTTCGCTCCCTTCGAGGTACTGATTCTGCTCTGCTGCAGTTTGCTAACGCTAAGACCAGTCTCCACCGTCACCACGATCCCCAACACCACCTACCCCTGTTCTCCCTTCCTCGCCATTTCCGCTGCTGACTCCGCCACCCCCTCCACTAGTACTTATGAGCCCAAGTTCCGACTCCACTGTCGACTTCTATCATTGCCTTGCTGGCTCTACCTCCTCCTCCTCCACCGCCACCTTCAAGCTGGGATTTCTAGGATCCATTTGTCCCCGCTTCATCAAGGTAGCAAAAACTTTGTTGTTAATGCACGTGAGACCTTCGGCATGGTCATTTTTTCAGTTTTGGTGCAACCCCAAATCCACAATTTTGAGATCTCGCATCTCACATTTTTCTCATTCCATCATCCTTTTTCCCTCAAAACAAATATGAGAAAAGTGAATATTTTTAGAATATTCCCTTTTTCTGTTCCCCATCCCACAAATGGAGCCCAAAGGTCTCGGACTGACCCACTTCTTCACCGAGGATGGGCACGGATGCGGGCTTAGGGGTTTGGGAGAGGGTTACATCTATATCCCATTACCAAGAAAACTTCCCAACTCTCTTGCCTGCAGAAGTTTCGAACAGGTATCATTAATTTTTTTTATTGTTGTTTTGTGGTATCAGTTAATGCTTCTTTCTTTGTTTTCTTCTGTATTCTGATCGTTGTAATCCAAACGTAAATTTTGACGTTCAATTTCTCGATTGTTGGCCTTCACAGGTTTTCACCATTGCCTCATCTTCAACATTTCTCGATTGTTGGCCTTCACAGGCTTTCACCATTGACTCATCTTCAATATTCGCATCGCTAGCGAATCTTGAGGTCCAGTCTTTCTCTCTCTCGTTCCTCTCCCTCCTCGCCCCCATCTCACCTCTATCTCGAGCCAGACTCCATACTTGCTCTCTCTCTCTCTCTCTCTCTATTTAGGGTTTTCTACTTTACCTGTGTTCGGTTCTTCTCATTCTTCTTCTCGGACGATAAGGACATGGCTTACTACTCGAGACCGTTTGGCTTTCACTCTCATGACAAGTTTCTGTTGCCTCGAATCCCTAACCAGCAATCACAGTAGTTTTCGCCCTCTCTTCTCTGCCTTTCTCTCGGTGAGAAACCCTAAAATGGTTTCCTTCTTTTTTTTTGTGTTGCCAATTAAAGTTTCTTCACTTTCTTTCTATTTCTTTTTTTTTCACATGAAAGCTTTTGTTTTCTTGGTTTATACATTTCCAATCTAATGTAACAATGATTCATTGAGTATATAATTTCCCCTTGGAGCTACATTGATACCAGGTTTTGTTTTTCCAAAATTATTCTTAATCTGTTAATTGAGAGTTCCACTTTCCTTGGTTATTTGTTGTGAGTTGTGATTGTTCTGTTTTTATCCTCCATTTTTCTTTTCAGCTTCGAGAGGAGTTAAGGAGGTGGTTAAGAGTATTCAGCGCTGCAACAAAGGGTATGTCTTATTATATTGCCGGAATAATTTCTTTTCGAATTTCTTACAGTGAAGTGCCTTCGTGTTTCAATGGTTGACACGAAAATTGCTAAACATATCAATATTATGTATAAGTGACAATCAGGATGGTTCTTAACCAACGTTGCAAACCATCTTGTGGAGACCCATGTTTATCACTTCTTCTCAACTAGCTTGGCTTTTGGGTTATAGCAAGGCATGAGTGCCACACAAAGAGCTGTACATTGAAGCCACCCTATGAGCATGACAATCAGAAGAAACGATAAGGATAAGTGGATGAACTAAATGACTTATTGCTTTGTCTTTTACCTATTTTTTTTTTATTTTTTATTTTATTGAGTTGATTTTTCCCTCTTTTGCAGGATTTGTGTTTACTAGGTGTGGCTGGATTATGGCTATTTCTGGATTGAGCCTACAAGGCTTCCAATGGCTTCATTTATTTTTCTGGTTTTAGCTTAGTTATGTAATTGGTAAATTTGCACGTGGCAATTTTAGATGATAAAGATAGTAATATACATCTAAATTATTTTAAATTTTGTATATATTTCTATGTATATAAAATAATTTTATATTAAAGATGTCCCAAATGTTTTCTACAAATATTATGCATTTTTTTGTTTTTGTCTTTCTTTAATTTTTATTATTTAACTATAATATCATGGCTTTACCCATTTGACCCCAATGATTGAATTGCATATCCACCACCTAAACAGAAGGACAATTTCATTTTTTTGGTTCAATTTTGAGAAAAAAAAATGAGATTTATTGTTAAAAGTATTGGATATAGATATGATAATAGAATTTATTGGTGAGCAAATATCTTCAATATATCATTTAATAAGATAGAATTGGATGAAGTGAAAAATAATAGTACAAAATACATTTTTTGCCCTCACAATTAAAAAATGGACTAAATTCAAATTACAATTGTTATATTTCCATGTGCATAAAAATAATTCTTATTTATGACACTTGTTTTTGTTTAATATGATGAATATACAATATTAGAGATGCACTTAAATGCTTTTTTTTGCAAAATTTATGTATTTTTTTTTTCAGTTTTATTATTTTTTAATTTTTATTGTTTAATTATGACATCAAATATTGTCACATTTGAATTAAAAGTTCAGTTGTTTATCTGGACCAAATAGGAAATCAGTTTCATTTTTTTTTGTTGGTTTTAAAATTTGTGTTGTATTTCCATTATCAATATAAATAATTCTTGTTTATGACACTTATTTTTGTTTACTATGATTAATATAAAATATCAGAGAAATGACCCACATGGATTCACCCAATTGACCCCAAATGGTCAAATTGGCTTATCCACCACTTGGGTCGAATAATGGTTTCATTTTATTTTTGGTTAATTTTAGAAAATTATAAATTGCTGAAACCTACCTTGAAGTTCCTGACCGTTGGTAAAATCTCCCGTGAAGTTTGGTAATTGCAATCGCTTCCCTTGAACTTTCCAATACAATTACAAGTAGACCCTCTCTCTTAGAATCCTCTAACAAGAGGCACACAAACTTTATGAACAACATAAAAAGGTTTAAAATTGGAACTTTTTGAGGGATTTATATGAAGGGAAAATTTGGAAAATAAACATTTTAGTTGAATTAACAAAATGGTTATTTTGGACATTTTCATGCCTCTTGTTAGGGGATTATAAGAGAAGGGGTCTACTTGTAGATATGTTAAAAAGTTCAGGGGAGGTGATTGCAATTACCAAATTTCAGGGAAAGTTTTAGCAACTTCAATGGAGGTTTTAGCATTTTATCCTTTAAAAACATGGGTTTCATATTGTTAAAATGTATTTGATAAAGATCTAATTATTAGAATGTATTAAATAAAAAATACCTAAACTTAAATATAATGCTTAATGAGAAGGGAATTAAATAAGGTGAAAATTTGTAAGGGATATTACATTATTAGCCTTCAGAATTAAAGAGGAACTACATTCAAAGATAAGGGTAGTTTGGTAAAAAAGAAAGTTCCACACCCTCATTGATACTTTTAAGTATAAATAAATATACTATACACAAAAGTATTATATATATATATATGCCTGTGTGTGTGTAATATAAAATAGGGCCATTTACTAAAACACCCCTTATAGTTTGCAATCAATTTAGTTAACCAACCTTCCATTAGATGAAAGTAGAAAATGATAGTTTTAACCCTGACATCCATTCAAATAAATTTAACGAAAAGAAACTAAAAACAGAAGTGCCATTTTTGCCCCTATTAAAACATGGGCGACCACTCTATTCTTCTCCATTTGATCAATTTTGTCTTCTATGCAAAAGTGTTAGGGGTACTTTTGGAATAAGCAACCATGGACCCGTATCCTTGAACATTTTTCACTCAGTTTAGGGGTATTTTTGGAATAAACAACCATATACCTGTATCTGAGTCTTCAGGCTTGTCCAGTCTACAACAAAAGCAATGGAAAAACTAATAGATTAGCCACTCCAACCATTAAGTCAGCTAAAAACTTGGCTTCTAGGGTTTCCCTCTGTAAATGGACGGTGCCCTACCTGATTCAGTCCTAGCTAAAAACCTAGTAACAAGACTACTAGAGACAGAGCTTTTCATCTCCTCAAAACATGGTTACCATCAGAGAGACATGTCTTGGATGACTACACGGTTACTGTCACTTGGACGAATGGTAATTTTGGGTTTTAAAAAAATTATATGTTATATAATATCACACGTGTATGAATTTAGACAGAATATTAATGGACGCTAACAACAGAAATAAAACTAGTCAATTGTTAGAAATAATAGGGATGGTTTAACATAATGGTTAAAGAGTAAAAGTATAGTTTGTAGTAGTTTAAGAAATTTGCTCATTAGTATTATATCACTAGAATGTGGTGGAAAGGGAGAGGACTATAGAGAAAGAAAAGAAGGAATGGCTTTATTGACTTGAGTCATGTGGCGGTATAAATGATCAACAAACAATATAAGGAGAGAGAGGGAGAAGGTTCGATTAGGTAAGGAAAGAGAGGAGAGGCCATCTAATCAAATGCATTTTATACTTAAATTTTAATTTTTAAGGTTAGAATTTAACTATTAGAGTTTAAGATTTTGAATTTAAGATTTAAGGTAAGGATTTAATATTCACGATTTAGATACATAGATCAAAAGAAGGTTGGAGCGAACTAAAGCCCTTATTAATGATTGTTGTTTGTAATTGCATAAGCCCACAAGAAAAGTTTTTTTTTTGGGTAAATTACAAAGGCCCCCTGTACTATGGGGTCTATGACAAAGGCCTTATGTACTTTGTTTTGCGACAAAGACCCCTTTATACTTTGGTCGTGAGACAAAGACCTCCTTCCTGTTAACTCGGCTAAAGAAAGGGGTCATTTGATGAAAATACCCTCTGTACAATCAAATTACCATTTTCAAAATGATGAAAATAGACATCCCACCCCTTATTCACTATTTTTGAATAGATTTTCACTTTTGACCTAAACCCTGCCTAAATTCCAGCCGAGAACCCTCATGTAATCCATCACAACTCCTTTGAGTCTGACCTCTGCTAGAGTTTGCGCCAATATCACACAGAACATAGAAGAAAGGAAGCAGAATATCACATTGTTTCTGTGGAAGAAAAACTGTGTAGCCGTTGCTGGAGAAGAAGATCTCTTTTCACTGTCACTAGTGAAGAAGATTTCTTTTCAATAGGTGGATATGTCAAAATATGATACATTGGTTCTGAGAAGAGTGAAAACAGAGGCCTATATTTTACCTTCACAAATGGAGCCAGGTTTCAAGGCAGTACAAGAATATTTGAATTAAAGGGTATCTGCAAAGCTTTTGGAATAAGTGAAAGATTTAATGGAGCACCTTCTGCATGTGGATAAAGAGGATAAAATCCATTGAAACAAGAGTTAAACCAGTTCCACTGATTACTGATAATAATTGTAACTAAATATGTAAGGAAAACATCTGATGAAGCAGCAAGGATGTAAGGAAAACAAAAATTCCAGATCCTGTTGCAGCAAGAACAAGACAATCTTGGTGAGCTAACTAAACCTCTATGGCTTCCTTTTGGAAACTCTTCAATGATGATAACCCAAAATACTTGTTTAATATTTAATTGACTTTCTGCTCCCAGTCTGGTCCTAACACTTGGCCTTGTGTACTATAATCTGGATGTAGGGATGATTGAGGAGATAATGATTTACCATTTTGATCCATATTAGGAAGAGATGCTTCCTGCTTTTTTTTTTCCCAATAAACCATATTTGAACCAGAATGGGATGTATTGGATGCATCATGAATCTTGCTTGTTTTGATTCTACCTGATGATTGGAGATGCTCCATGATGCTAGACTGTTTCATCCGGCCCAAAGATTTTGAAGATTCGAATAAAGAACTTTTTGAATCACATGATACACCTGTTTTCATTCTGCAAGAATCATTCAAGAGGAACTCAATAGCATTGTCTAGTAATGGACCAACAGCTTCTATAACTTCTGTAACTTTACAAAAGTCAAATCTCATCTCAATCAGTTCTGCAATCACATGGTGAGCACATACATCATTCCCATCCATGGTAGTGAATCTTTCATCCAAATTGAAATGAAACGAAAAACACATTTCATGTTGAATATCAAGTGGTAGGAACCATCTAACTTGAAATGAATTATCGTCTTAAAAATTAGATTTGATTATTGTTTAGGCTGCATTTAGAAATGATGCAAATGGAGTGTAAATCTCTGTTCAGGGTAAATTTTCACTCTAATTCACTTTTGCCTGTATTTGGCAACATTACATTTAGGCATTGACAAATGATAGAAAACACATTTTCCAATACATATTTACATTGATTATAAGATGTAAAAATACATCAATAAAAAAGAAGTAAATTTGCATTCAAGTGGGCCTTTTATTAAAAAAAGATATATGCTTTATTGGAATTCGTGTTTGCATCCATAGCAGCTAAAAGTTTGTTTGGTAAGAAGGTAAATTTGTCAGTGCAAAACTAACCCAACTTTGCAATTTATATGAACTGTTTTACACTCTATATATTTGCATTCACACTTATTTGCATAATTTYCAAACGCAGCCTTAATGTCATAGGTGCATATGAAATTGAGATACAAAACCAATATTCCATTATTCTATGTTCAGTAGTATGTTTCATTCAAATAATTTATACATTTGATAACTGTACAAAGAAAAGCCAACCTATAACTAAGACCATAAACATGAACTAAGTCCTCTAACATTAATGGAATGTTGACTATCTTAAGCATGGCTTTACAATCAGTGTAAAAGTCCACGGTATTCAACACTCAAGCCCAATGTATAACAACCTGTTATGGACATGGGCATTAGTTGAGTCATGAGATGTCCAGATTGAGGTATTGAACAGTTGTTGGAATTCCACATATTTTTTTGGAAACATACGGTCAGGTTTTCAAAATTCATAGAGAAAGATCACCATTAAGAATGATGGATCAATTTCTTTTTTCCTGCAATCCCAATATTCGCAAACAATTGTCAATTCTCACCTTAGCCCCTGCTGGTTTGTGAATCATCTATTATATCCGAACAGGAGCTATCTTGTTTTCCATTGAACAAGTTTCGAATGGCAAGAGATAACCATGGCTTAGTATCCATATTATGGTAACTATAGCTAGCTTTTCGCTTGGCCTCTGCCCAAAGTGATCACCGTTGTAGCTAATTTCACTGTGAAGAATTCCTTGCCACTGAAACTTGATTGCCCGGAAGAAATAAAGAAAGGTTAAGACAACGTATAAAAAATGAAAAAAGGGGTAAAATTGTCTGAATACTTATCACAAAAGCATTAAAATTTGTTGCAATAGTGGACAAAATCTTTTTGGACAGATGAATAGAAAGGGTGTTTGTCCCACGGCCAAAATAAAATACAATACAGTATGAAGAATTCCAATGCATTTGTATAGACTATTGATTTTGTCTTGATGCTGCAGAATTGTCACAATCAAACACGGGAAAGTATAGTCCGAATCCATCCATGAATTTCGAACTGAACAGTGAACACTAATGAGGTGGTATGTGCTGTATCGAATGGTGTCCACCCCTGGCCATGACCCTTGTGGGCTGAGGTGCAGGAGGAGTTGTCTTCTATCTCCTTTGGTTGGTCCTTACAGGTGTAAAAATAAAAAACACCAGAATATCTTTCATACCCATCAGCCCATATCATGATATCAACCGACAGGCCACCATTTAAATATTCATTTATGACACATAAATACCATTAGGCACTCTACATCAGCAAAATTCCATTAAACACCAACATTGGTACATACAAATGTAATTAATAAAGCATTTACTGATAAGCACTTGTATGTGACATTGTTTATTCAATAAACGTAAAAATAAATTAATAACCACGGGAAGGGTTTATTCATCGGGCCCACATCTTGATTCTTGACACATCACGTGATCAATCTATCATGTAAGTGGAGTAGTAGTGGGACCAGTGTTCCTTTCAACTTCAAGCCCCATGTGTAATGTGTTGTTCTACCAAAAAAAGCCCCATGTGTTCTGCTGCGCCCAAGTCGGGTTGCTACTACTAATTGTGTTTCCTTTTCCAAGTGTTTTTTGTGACCCATCATTCAGTTCGCCGTATACATCACGGTCAAATTCTTAAATTACCCTTGACATAGCAAAAGCAAAGATGATCATCCAACAAAAAAATAAAATCAGAATTTAGTTGGGAGAATGACAGTTCAGTCTAAGGTCAGAATTTGTAGGCCTATAATACTATTTGGGATGTGGGATGGGTGTCATTCTGCTCTTTTGGAATTGATGTGCGGCCTGTGGTGTATAGTGTACGGTTTTTGACATTTTGAATATTTATAATTCTACAGTGGAAATCAAAAATTTGTATTGGACGTATCCGTATTTATGATGAAGCTTTTTTCTTGTTTTTTATTAACTTTGATAATATATAATATATAGTCCGGCCCGGTTACGTATTCGACCTTCATTTCCAGCTTCACTCATGTTTTTCCGGTGAGTATGATTAATTTGACGATAATTAGAATTGGAGTAGTTCAGATCTCATCAGTCAACATCCAACTGCAAGAGCATGTGCCTGAATCACACCATGACGGGATCTGCTGCTCCTCACAAATGAGCGCCTCACACAGGCACATCCACCATGAATTGGGAACATCTCCCGTGAATGATAACCTTCCCGGTGCATGCATGCTAGGATGTGCGTGTGAGGCGCCAGGTCTCAATCACACCACCCTCCCTTAGTCCCATGAGCTGTTTGCTTCTGTTTTTGTCTTTTGCCTTGATGTTTCAACCAAAGAAAACCATTTTCTTCAGTCATGATCTGTTGCTCTTCCTCTAAATTTCTTTCTATGTGCATAATAGCCCACACATCTTCTTCACTTTGCCGCGCCGATAACCCCAAATCTCAACTTCCAACGTTTTTCTAATTTAAATGGCGATGCATCTTGGGTGTCTCTGGCTTTTTATTTTCTTCTTGTGGAACCCGGTTTTCTCCCAGTTCGATGAGATCTTCTATGGTGGATTCGGTGGAGTTGGCACCAACATAAGCTTGAACGGAGTTGCTCGGATCCAGAACGGCGGGATTCTTCAATTAACCAACCAGACCAGCCGTTTAGTGGGTCACGCCTTCTACCCGTCTCCTCTCCGATTCAAAAACTCCACCGACGGCACAGCTTTCTCTTTCTCTACTTCTTTCGCATTTGCCATCGTTCCCGAGTATCCAAAGCTTGGTGGGCATGGCCTCGCTTTCACAATTGCTCCGACGAAAGAGCTCAAAGGAGCACTTCCGAGCCAGTATCTCGGCCTGCTCAATGCTAGTGACGTCGGAAACTTCTCCAACCATGTTTTCGCTGTGGAATTCGACACAGTTCAAGACTTTGAGTTTGAGGACGTCAACGACAATCATATTGGGATCGACATCAATGACTTGAGGTCAAATGCCTCTATTACCGCCGCTTATTACACCAATATCTCAACAAAGGAAAACCTTAATCTCAAAAATGGCAAGACGATTCAGGCGTGGATAGATTATGATTCGGTGAATCATCTTCTCAATGTAACGCTTTCGCCTTCTTCTTCTTCAAAACCCAGTAGCCCAATACTCTCTTCCAATTTGGATCTATCCCCTATCCTCCGCGACACCATGTTTGTGGGCTTCTCCGCCTCCACGGGTCTGCTAGCCAGTTCCCATTACGTCTTCGGATGGAGCTTTAAGATGAACGGAGCTGCTCCATCCCTCGACCTCTCTTCCCTTCCTTCGCTCCCCGGTCCAAAAAAGAAAAACACGGCCATGACGATAGGCGTGTCCGTCTCAGCAACTCTTGTCATGATTGCAGCAATCTCCATTGCAGTGTATCTCATCTGGAAGATCAGGAACGCAGACGTAATCGAGGAATGGGAATTCTCTGTAGGCCCACATCGGTTCTCCTACAAGGAACTCAAGCTCGCAACCAAGGGTTTTAGGGACAAGGAACTGCTTGGGTTTGGTGGTTTCGGTAAAGTTTACAAGGGAATATTACCAAATTCGAAAACCCAAGTCGCAGTTAAACGAATCTCGAATGAATCAAGACAAGGATTACGGGAATTCGTCTCTGAGATCTCGAGCATCGGTCGTCTTCGACACAAAAACCTCGTCCAATTACAAGGATGGTGTCGCAGACGAGGGGATCTCCTCCTCGTCTACGACTTCATGCCCAATGGGAGCTTGGATAGATTCCTCTTCGACAGACCCAAATCGATTCTCAGCTGGGAGCAGAGATTCAAGGTCCTCAAAGGCGTAGCTTCGGGTTTGTTGTACTTGCACGAAGAATGGGAACAGGTGGTAATTCATAGAGATGTTAAAGCGAGCAACGTGTTGTTGGATGGCGAATTAAATGGTCGACTTGGAGATTTCGGACTCGCTAGGCTGCACGAACATGGATCAAACCCAACCACGACACGGGTGGTGGGCACACTGGGATACCTAGCGCCGGAGCTAACCCGTACAGGGAAGGCCACGACGAACTCCGACGTTTTTGCTTTCGGTGCTGTGTTGTTGGAAGTAACGTGCGGGCGGARACCCATTGAGCCGAAAGCATTGCCGGAAGAGCTGATATTAGTGGACTGGGTATGGGAAAAATGGAGGGATGGGTCCATCTTTGATGCGGTGGACCGCAGGTTGAAAGGGGAGTATGATGAGGCGGAGGTGGTGATGGTGCTCAAATTGGGTCTAATGTGTTCAAACTTTGCCCCCGCCGCGCGTCCGACCATGAGACAGGTGGTCAGGTACTTGGAAGGGGAAGTCAAGTTGCCGGAAGAGTTGAGCAAGCCAGGGGAAAACCAAGCGGAGAAGAACGAAGTGGGGTTTGATGATTTTATTCATTCTTACCCATCTTCGTCTGAGAAGGTGAGTTCGTAGTCTTTAATGGGAGCTGGAGATAAGCGGAAATTCCACCCTCGACGCCACCTCCATCTCTTCTTTCTGGCAGAGATTGTTTCGATAATGAGTGAGATCATTTTATCAATTTATTTATTTTGGTTGTTTGCTTTTTTTTTTTTTTGAGTAATCTCTTGCGGCATTATATCTTTTTTTTTTTTGTGTGTGTGTTTGATTCTAAATGAGTTAACTAACGGTATGTAAATCAAAAGGCTGAAACATGGATGATTTTGGTTGTTATTGTTGATTTCTTTATTGTTCATTTGTTGATTGAAGTTGTTTTAAAAGATTAACTTCTTCCTTTTTCAATTGAATTTGTGTGAGAAATTGGAATTGAAGCCGGCGGAAATTGTTTTCAAGAGGGAGATTATTTTAATATAAAACCAAACTCTGAGTAGTGAAAATGAAAACAGATTTGAGCGTTTGGTTTGAGATATTGGTAATTGCTGTTCATGAACACAAAGACTAAAAATGGTCTTTCACACTTAATCTTATAGTGGACTTCACCATTAATATCAGAACAGTCAAAGAAGACGGAGTTATCACTGAGTAAAAGTGGGTACAAATCTCTGATGCATGACCAACAATTCAACATAAAGAAACAAAAACAACACTCTCTATCTGTATTAGATCTATGGAGTTTAAAACAAATGGAAAGCAAAAAACGACAACACCACTGATGACTCAACACTCAACAGAGGCGCAGTAAAGTGGGGCTGTTTTCGATCATTAGATACTATTTTTTTTTTTTTGTAAGTAAAACAAAGAACAAAACTCTTTTTATGGTAAGTAAAACAAAGAACTAAACTATCGAACCCGGGTCATCCAGCCAAAGGGCCCTAACAAGCCATGGGGCCCGGCTTCACAACTCCATGCAATCAAGCATCATTAAAAGATAGTAACTTTTTGCTACACAATGAGCTTAATCTAAGCCCAAATAACATAATTTTTGTAAGGGAACAAACACTGTATACAAGACTGATGGATTTTTAGCCGTGTTTTCTGTTGGTTTGGGTGGAAACTGAAAAGTGGCATAAAACTGAGAGGCTGCTCTTGGTTTCTCAGGAAATTATTGAAAAAGGAAAAGCTATAGAGCTTTTTTCATTTTTCCTTTTTTTTTAATAATTTTTCATAAACAAAATGCAGCGTAAGAAAATTAGCCCTGAATTTTCGCTTCCACCCATAATTAAAATATAGCTTCATGGTTGGAGAAATTCTTCCCCAAAAAAAAATAATAAATAAAATTCATATCCTCCAATTGTCAACTTGAAAGTAGTACATGAATACTACAATTTCTTTCAAGAAAATTGCTATTATATAAACAATATTATGGATATTGATAGCTTAAAGCATAAAAACTGCATTGTGTTTATTATAATTTTATATGAAATATATCCTTTTATTTATTTTACTCCACTGGTGTGAATTTACCTTGTACTGCCAGCCCAGATAAAAGAGGCGAGTCGCATTAGTTTGGCTGCTAGCAATTAAAACTTTTGACAAACTCTAGCGAATTCCATATAGTTGGAATAATGACGATAATATGTTTCTATATAAATAATATAGAAAATTTTCCTCCCAAAACTGAATGTATATTTTCTTGAACAATTCTACCATTTCACATTTTTTTTACTGAATTGCTATCATAAATTTACATTATTGAAAATGAACTCCCCAAATTCAATGCCCACAGACTGAATGGAGAGAGTTGGATGCTGGCATTCCTCTTTTTCCTCCATGCTAAGTTGATGAATAAGTTCCGGATTATTGGGGAGAGAAATTGATCGATTTGACTTAAAATCCATTTGAGAAGGTGCCAGGCCCATCTATTTCAAAGCCCACAATCTTTAGCTTAGATTATAACGTTTCTAAAAACAATTCTTACTAAACTTTCAAGACTCTTTGTCTCAACTTGTTTTTCACAGCCCACAGCTCAAAAAGCAAAACTTATTCAACGGGGGGGGCCTTGCTAAATTAATTCAAAACTTTAGTCTAATGACACAATTTGATGGTAATTTCAAAGATGAAATTACGGATTGCAGGATGAAAGACAAGTTGAAACCCACTATAATTTCATCCCATTAAAAAAAAGCCTACGGTTCCAAACTTTTTTTTCCTCTTTAAGCTCCGTTTATTTGTAATACAAACGCCGAATCGGGGTATTTATGTACTCCGGTTTGCGTTTGCAAGTGTTTGTTTGAAACGTAAAAAAGTAATGATTATCAGAGTAAAAATGTATTTTCTGAAAGTTTTGTACTCTGAGAAGAGAACATTAATATACCTACTTTTTGGATATAATTTATGCTATTTTGATAATTAACTTTTTGACCAAAGTTAATGCATTAGAGCATAAGATAACTGGAGCATTTAATGATGAGTCCACACTTTTACATGGATTTCAAACAAACAAAATGAATACAAAAATGATTTAAAATGTAAATCATATTTGCATTCATGAACCGAAAAATGGATAAATATGTATTATATATATTTGCATTTGCATTACAACCAAATGCAGCCTAAAGAATTTCTCATTTCATCTTTAAAACCACTTCCTGTCTTTTAAACTAAAACCTGCTGATAATTTCTATACTCGAGTTTCCACAGATAAAATCGCTAAATTTAGAGAGACCCTTTTCTTTAGATCGACCATGTCTTTATTCTCCCAATTTTCCAAAAAGAAAAAAAAAAAATACTCTCCCAATTTGTTTCCCTATACAACACGAGTCTGGATCTCCTGCACTCCACTTGGTGTGTGCCAATCAAATTGAAACACGTATAGTTTGCACGGGCATCCCATTCACATTTGTGGACAAATTAAACGGCATCGTTATTTCCAAAATATAATTTTTTTGAAACTTATAATAGTAAAAAAGTAAGGAATTTTTTATCTTCTTCCTCAACTCGCCCTAGCTCGACAACCAGAGAGTGGCTTCAGTCTTCATCAACACCCATATTCCTCTCCTTCTCTTTCATTTTTCAACAGTAAAAGAAAAAACACATAGTAAGAATCTGAATGAAGAGTGCCACAAAGCTCAGCCAAATTGTAGGATGAAATTACGGATCTATATTTAATGGGATTTTCCTGATAATTAGATCCATTGAAACTGTAGGCACAACTACATTTCAAGGAAATTGTGGAAGGCATTTGGATATTAAGTATTAACAGAAGGGATTGAGTTGAGATTATTTGATCTGTTCGTTTACTCCACTACTATTGTTCTTTTGGTTGGAATTGATGAAAATGCAGAGAAATTGGCATTTTGAGTGTTTTGGAATCGATGAAAACAGAGTTGAATGATCATCGATGTGGAAGCTATTAGGGTAACTTGTATACTCCGGTGGTTATTTGGGAGATTTTGTTTGAGAAATCCTATCATACAAGGTGAAAATTCTAGTGAAATATCAAATATTTAGAGGATATTTTAGATTGCATCAACAGATTTCTTATTTTCTCTAAACCCATGGGAGGTGATGGGAAGGTATAGTGGCATACCCGAAGCTCATACTGTTAAAAGTAGCCGTAACCCAACAGAGGTGACTATCTAAAGAACAAAGAAGGCAATCTTCTGAGTTCTGATTTCTGTTATTCACATGAGAGAAAGAGGGGAATATGGGTGTCGGTGAAACTGTCGCCGCTCTCTGATTGTCAAACCCCAAGAAGATGAACAGTTCTTCCCTTTTTTTTATCATTCTTTTCAAGTGCACCCTGAAACACACCGAACACAGTGCAGGAAATCCGGACTCATACAATACGCCTTTTACTAGGGCATTCCCCATTTTAAACATTCGACAGCATCTTACCTACGGTATTTGGAACGGTTGCAGGAGCACTAGTTCAATTTAAACCTTAAACATGTCAAGGTCTATCTAAGTCAGAAGCCTGGTCAAATTTTCATTACAAGTTGTATGTCATTCAATTGAATGGGTTCTTGACAACTAGTTGTAGGGGTGGAGTTTGAGTTGAGTTGAGTTGGTTTCAACCCAAATTCCGTTTATTGGATTAATATAAAACTAGTGGAATTGTGAAAGTAATTTTAATAAAATGATAAAATAAATAAATCATACAAATATCACAATATATTTATAATATAAAATTATATATAAATAAGATAACGCTTGCAACATTTGGTGAAGCATTAAATTATATGTATCGATCTTTTAACAAAATGAGAGGGGGAGTGTACTGAACCCTATACCCCAAATCTTAAGAGTAGATAGGAAAAAGAAAGAGAACCCCCTCCCTCTTTTATGATTTCGGGTCCATAGAAAACTGTCTCTTTCCTTTTCTCTCCCCCATTCTTTATATGTCATAGAAATATGTTAAACTAACTAATTTAATTTAAATAATTATATTAATATTAATTAATTAATCTAAATTTAGTTGATTAAGTGATTTAACTAACTATTTATTTTAACTGAATTGTATAAAATATTTAATTAATGAATAAATTTTAATTGAGAGGGCGAGAGAAAGTGTACCTAAGAAAAGAGTGTGCAGAGTACCGATGGTTGATGCTTGGACTGAGAAAGAAAGAGAGATGTCTATGGTCTGAAAAGTATTCAATATGAAAAAAAAAATGACAAGTTGGGAGTTTATTTGTAATAAAAATCTTAAACAATATATTATAATCAACATCGCATTGGATTCTTTTCTACAATTTTTTAGTATTAATTTAATTAGCAAATATAATCTAATGGCCACATCTTAGAGAGCGCTCCTCACACCGACCTCACATCCGCACCCCACCGTGTAATTGGAACATGTTGTGACTGCCTTGACCTCCTCCTTGTAGTAAGGTCGCAATATCTGACCGCCTCATTCTCATCTTCGAATACCTGAAATGATTTATAGGAAAAGTGGATGAACAAATAGGCAAAGATGGTAACGAAGATTAGGCACATTAACTCATACCATGTTGCTCAATCATATATAAAATGTCTCGAGTCCCACGTTACAGATTTGGCACAAAGGAAGAAACAATCGTTACTCAAGAAGTTCATCAGTATCTAAGGCAGCAATGACAATATTAACTCGTACCATGAATCTCAAGGTGAGATACCAAGATTTTTAAACATGGGAATAACCTAAATAAAGTAGGACATCATTTACTGGTTCATGTTGAATCCTGAATGTCTGATACATAAGTCGGTTATTTAGAAACCAGAGGAAGATTAGGAATGGAAGCAGAATGATTTGAGCCTGGATTTCCTGCACTAACCAATCACTGAGTGGCAGGTGTCCAGGACTTGGTGTAAACCTCGGTTACTCCCTCCCTGATATCCTCCACAAGCATTTGAAACCTTGTCCCAGTTCTTGATTGCTTAGTCTTATTTCCTATTTCAGATCTCCACTTTCCTCCTCTGGAAAACAAGAGCCCAATCTCTCTTTCAACTTCACCATAGAATATGAAAACATCAGCTGTGAATAAGATAGGATTTGTTCAGGTAAACACAACTCACAAAACCAAATGAGACCTGCGGCTTCTTCTTGTTTTCATTGTGCATAACTGGTTTTCCCTATGGGTGCAACACATATATGGGCTTTGAAGCTCCTCTCCATGGGTTTGCCTCCAATACTAGAAATAAAGAAAACATGTTATAGATGTTAAAAAGTAGAAACAAATAAACACAAATGTTTAAAATGCTTTCAGTTACTTTATGGATCTGCATGCTAAGAGCCTGAGACAATACTAAAATATCACCAAAGAGGAAAAGTGAACCCATACTCTTCACCAGTGGGAGAAGTTGATAAAATCAACCATTACAAGGAGTCAAATAACATATCTAGCAATTGAATTTATTTATTGCTGGAGTTGTCAACACATGCTAAAGAACTGGATTTATTTGAGTGCTGTTTTTAAATGGTCACATATTAAAATTAAATACAGCAAAGCTCATTTGCCAAAGGAAACTACAATGACATAGTATTGGGAGAAAAGGTAAATACACTAGTTTAACTGATTCAATTATAGTACTGTTAAATTCAATCAACAATAGAAGATCCAATTGGAATAGAGTACACGATACCAAAAAMGAAGGCAGTGATTGCAGGAATAATTGGTTTCGGGTTTGAATTGGTTCTGGATAGGCAAGAACCGAAACCAACCAAATCATTAATCAAGACAAAACCACAGAACCAGAACTGT